CGGTACTCCACTGCTTACCAATTCCTGCCAATTGGATTGCCGCTACCCACGGTGGCAGCAGATACCGCTGCGATCTGAATAGAGCCTTGGAGCGGTAATTTCCTTGGTAACAAAATGTGCATTTTAAAATAGGGTACTTGACTGACAGTTCAATTGAGCATCTTTTTAAAACGGTATTTTGCATGAAAATACTGTCATTTGATATCATTTGCCAGTAATTTTAATGGCACTTACTTTTAGGTATGCAATTTTTCTATTTGAAAAATTGATAGTAGTTTTAAGCGTACCTACAACTTTCGTATTTTTGTAGTTACCCTGTCAAGTACCCTATTCGTACAAAAACATAATAATAAAAAGCCCAAAAGATACTTTCATAAAATATTTGATACCTTGAAAATTATGTACTAATTTATAAAAATATTTTGTGTGTTTTTTTAGTTAGTAGAATGTAGTTGTACTTAGTTGTAATTTAATGAACCAATTTGTACTTATTTTTCAATTCATCACAGTAAATTACTTCCCATCCAATATTATAAGGTATTATGAAATAAAATATGTAAGTATATAATTTTTTAAAAATACGTAAATAAAAATGCTCCAATATTTATTTTGTATTTTAATTATCTAAATACAACAACCACTACAAAATTACAGAATAATATCTGTGTTATAAGTAGCAACTCTGTTAGTCCACTACTGAATGTGGGCCTCTCCCAATCAGATATGAGAAAAGACTAAAATGAGTATCTATCACATTCATTATCAGAATGTTTTTTAATTAATTTTATTCATATTTCCTTGTGGTGGCACCTCAAGAAGGATTAGGTGACGAGACACCATACTACATCACCACTACAAGTATTGCAAGCGAAGCGAGCTCAACATTTCGCGTTAAAAATGTGGTGAGGAGACACGCCGTCCTACATCACCACTACAAGTATTGCGAGCAAAGCGAGCTCGAAATTTCGCGTAAAAAATGCGGTGAGTAGACACGCCGTCCTACATCACCACTACAAGTATTGCGAGCAAAGCGAGCTCGAAATTTCGCGTAAAAATGCGGTGAGGAGACACGCCGTCCTACATCACCACTACAAGTATTGCGAGCAAAGCGAGCTCGAAATTTCGCGTAAAAAATGCGGTGAGGAGACACGCCGTCCTACATCACCACTACAAGTATTGCGAGCAATGTGAGCTCGATATTTCGCGTAAAAAATGCGGTGAGGAGACACGCCGTCCTACATCCCCACTACAAGTGTTGCGAGCAAAGCGAGCTCAACATTTCGCGTAAAAAATGCGGTGAGGAGACACACCGTCCTACTACATCACCACTACAAGTCACTTATTATACCATGCTACAAGTATTGCGAGCAAAGCGAGCTCAACATTTCGCGTAAAAAATGCGGTGAGGAGACACACCGTCCTACTACATCACCACTACAAGTCACTTAATTTTATTCATATTTCCTTGTGGTGGCACCTCAAGAAGGATTAGGTGACGAGACACCGTACTACATCACCACTACAAGTATTGCGAGCAAAGCGAGCTCAACATTTCGCGTAAAAAATGTGGTGAGGAGACACACCGTCCTACATCACCACTACAAGTATTGCGAGGATCGTCGGATAATGTTATGTCAGCTCTAGTAGTAGAATTCTTGGTGACTTGGTGATTGGGGGGGTCTGTATACGCTATACGCTACTGGCTTCAACACGACATGGTATTTCTTCAGTACCAGAGAAATCACTGTCTTGGCCCAAAATTTGCACATCTTGCTATTATAGAGGAACAGTATGTTTTATATGGTTAGTACGGCTACTACTGCGATTGGAGAAGCAATAATAAATTATAGGGATATTACGCTTTTTTTATAAAAAATATAAATGCCCCCCAAATTGACGCTCTCTGGCGTGTCCGAAAGCTGACTTGCTACATTCATGGGTTTATATTTCGATAACTATTTATGATACGAATTTGCGACGATGTTCACAGACCTTTTATATGTTCTAGATTAACTACAATTAATATTTAACCATACTTATAACAGTTTAGCGAGTTACAGAATAAAATGTCTCTGTCCGCGTAAAATCCTGGGATTCTCTGGCGCGTAAAAAACATCGCATACATCACTAGTCTTTGTAGTTACGCTGTCGGCATCCCGGTCGCTTAAAAGAGTCAGTAACGCCGCAGCAGCGGAGGTATGTGCACTCGTGACTCGATGTTATATTTTGGATTCATCGAGGTAATCAAGTGTTATTCTGGCTTTGGTACACCTATACATTTGAGTTCTCTGGCAAAGTTAATCATTAATTGATCAGTCATAATGTTGTGATTTTGTTATAGAAACGTAGCTTTTTGGGTGCTGAGCTGGTTGTGTAATTACGATTATATTCGCTTTTACGGTTTAAGGGTTACTCAAAATAATCACCATACAGCAGCCACGCTAGCCTGCACGATGGCTAGGTCTGTTGCCGCTTCTGCTCACAAGCTGCGAGCGGACAACAGCAACGCTGGCCTGCTCGGTGGCTAGGTCTGTAGCCGCTTCTGCTCACAGCGCTGCTAGCAGACAACAGCAACGCTAGCCTGCCCGGTGGTTAGGTCTGTGGCGAGCCTGCGAAAAGACAACAGCCACGCTAGCCTGCCCTAAAAGGTAGCTCAGGCCGCTTCTGCTCACAGCGCTGCGAGCAGACAAAGCCACGCCAGCTAGGTATAGTTCCTTCTGCTCAGAGCACTGCTAGAAGACAACAGCAACGCTAGTCTGCCCGGTGGCTAGGTTTGTGGCGAGCCTGCAATCAGACAACAGCCACGCTAGCTTGCCCGATGGCTAGGTCTGTGGCCGCTTCTGCTCATAGCGCTGCAAGCAGACAACAACCATACGCATCGCCATGGCTAGGTTTGTGTCGAGCCCGAGCAGAGAACAGCCACGCTAGCCTGCTCGGTGGCTAGGTCTGTTGCCGCTTTGCCGCTTCTGCTCACAGCGCTGCGAGCAGACAACATCTACCCTAGCCTGCCCGGTAGCTAGGTCTGTGGCCGCTTCTGCTCACAGCGCTGCGAGCAGACAACAGCAACGCTAGCCTGCTGTGTAGCCGGTTCTACTCGCAACGCTTCAAGCAGGCAACAGCCACGCTAGCCTGCCCAGTGGCTAGGTCTGTGGCGAGCCTGCGGGCAGACAACAGCTACACTAGCCTGGCTGGTGGCTAGGTCTGTGGCAAGCCTGCGAGCAGACAACAGCCACGATAAATAATCGACTGACATTAGTAAATGATACAAATAACGAAATTAAAGTTACGAGTTTGATATCTCTGTCCTATTTGATTGATTTCTCTGGCGAGATTTTTTTAAACTCGTTTTTCTCTGGAACTATAAGTGAGAAACGAGGGCCAAATTATGTTTTTATGTTTTGAGATATGTTTTCAATATCCATTGGTATTATTTCAATTAACTCAAAATTCAAATTCGCCAGAGAAATCACGTGAATTTGCATGGTCCGGAGAAATACACGACAACGCACCCGGCAATCAAAACAAGGGACTTTCTGGACAGCTCAGCAGTCCAACTCATTGGTCATCCTCCTTACAGTCCTGAGGGCAATCGAAGATGTGTCTGATGCGGAGTGGAAAAAGTGTTTTGAACATTAGTTTAGACGTATGAAACTTTTGTTGATGCAGACGGAGAATACTTTGACATGATATAATTAAAAATCATAACCCGATTGTTTTTTTATACTTTCTAAAAATTTTCTGCGTGACCTAGCTATGTAGGTATGTATTTATTCGTCTCGACACTGGGATCGTTGTTGATAGTATTCCTACAGGTTTTTCATACACTGGTTTAGAGTTCTCTCTAAGTACTTCTCTTCACGTTTAGACTCTGGTTCAGTCAGATCGGTCACTGCCATAATCTTCATCCGGTTCAGGTTCAGGTTCTGGTTCGTATTCAGGTTCAGGTTCGGGTTCCGGTTCAGGTTCAGGTTCCGGTTCAGGTTCAGGTTCTACTTCGGGTTCTTCAGGAATTTCATCAGCTTCAGGTGTTGCTTCTGCAACTGTCAAAATATAATTGAACATTACCACATTACATAAATCTTCAAATGACCAATGACACCTATATGACGACCAAATAACATGGAACGTAGCATTTCGGGCGTCAAGCGGATTGACCGCATACGAAACACCACCTTAAAGAACTGGCATAGTCGATGTAGGGCTCAAATCAGCCAAACTTAAGTGGGACTGGTCGGGGCACGTCAGCCGGATGCACCCAGAACGGTGGGCTAGGATCGTCACAGAGTGGACACTTCAAGATGGGAATCGTCGAAGGGGTAGACCCCGTAAAAGATTGAGTGACGATCTTAGCTCATATCGTGAAGACTGGTGGGCGCTATACCTAAGCAAGGATAGAGATAAGAGTAAAAAAGAAGGGGAGGGCTTTGCTCAGCAGTACACCATAGGCTGATAATATTATAATAATTTTCAAACCTTCTTAAGCGATAGATGAAGATACTTACATGTGTGTTGCCACTGCTGCTTACTGTGTATGTTTTTAAAATTTATTTTGTGTGCTGGGTTGCCTTTAAGAGATTGCTTATAGGGATAAGACCACCTTTGCTTAATTGTTTTATGATGTTTGTTTCTGTTCTTGTATACGCGATGTTTTATTGTGAGCAATATTTTTTTTGTGAATCTAGGTACTTGAAAATAAAAGTTTTGAATCTAAAGGCGTTCCTGTTTGTTTTGTCAGTCTGTGTTACCTTCATTTTCTTCTCCTTCCGCTTCTTTTGTTGTACCTGCTTCTCCCTCTTTTCCCTCCTTTTCTTCCTCTTTTTCCTTTTTTCCCTTCTTCCCCTTTTTTTTCTCTTCATCCGAACTTCTTCTACCTTTGGAAAACAAATTTTTAAAACACTATCCGTGTAGGTAAATAATATTTGGAAAACTTGCAAAATTTTCGCCGAAGGCAGATAGTGAATTTCCAAGATACACTTGCATAATTCGCTGGCTAAGAATGAACCGCGGTAGCCCAGTGAGTAGAGGCGTCGGCAGTAGGTACCTACTGATGCCGAAAGTCGTAAGTTCAAATCCTGCCTGCGGTGAAAACTTTGCAAGTTTACCAAAAATAAAATCCTCTCTTTGGCCCTGTTAAAATAATTAGATAATTTACCCGTAGTGGCGCGTAGTGACATGCATGACTAAGTTTTATCTAAGGACACTTTTGGTTTTTATTTTTATGCTTCATCGATTGCGATTATGTTTCAACTCTGGCCATGGAAAAGGACTTTTTTTGTTTCAAGGTCACTCACTATGCCAACCATGTCGGTAGCTCTTTGCGATGGAACCTTGTTTGGGCTATAAGGGAGACCAACATGATAAGATACCTAACCTTTCTCCGAGGCTGAGCGCCGTGGAGGAAGAACACAGGTCAGAATTTTTGTTATCGACTTATATCTCGAAAACGATACATAGGTAGTACAAAAATTTTATTGTAGGGTCAGGTAGGGATCGGTGACTCGGGCGGGTACATTGACTCACGCTTATATTTCAAAATAGGACAGCTATATCTATCTGTTTTCTTAACATAATGGTAGCTTTTGACAACCAAACACATACAAACCAATCATCCGTCCACTCCATCCAGTGCGGTTTGATTGTGAAAAAAATTTGCGATTGGTTTTGCACCTCTAAAAATGCTTTTAAAGGTACTCTACGTGTATTTTTATCGGTTAATATTAAAAGATTTAGGGAAATGTAATTATTATGATCGAAAGTGGTGTTCATACACTAAGTAATAAGCTAGATATGCTAGCTCTGAGTAGTCTGGTAATATTTGTAGGCAAATAATAGCATCGGCGTCTACACTGGCTCAAAATTCAGTGGTACACAGTGACTCTAACATTTAGTACTGGCTCATTTCTCTATTTTTAGAAACATTGACAGACAATAGTAAAATTTTTCTTATGGCAATAGTAATGATATGAAAAGAATACTTTGACAAATATAATTTAATAAAATGCATAGTTTCAATAAATATTACACTTGCAATACAGGGTTGCCAAGTCCATATAAACTGTTAGAGTCACTGTGTACCACAGGGGTTGAGTTAGTGTAGACAGGCACTAGTACACAGTGACTCACATTTTTTTTCTAGAAAAATATTTCTGCTGAGCTAAGTGTCGTGTTATTGCAAAAAATTATAATGCGAAACGAAAGAGTAATAATCAATGCATCCTAGATATGAATTTCGGTTTGATACTTCAAAGTTTTCTATAAAATTTTATTGATTGAAGAAATCCGAGTCACTGTTGCCTACCTGACCCTACTAGATAATGAAAACGCAGTGAATGCGGCTTTAAAGGTAAGAAAAGCGGCCAAGAGCGTGTCAGACACGCTCACAAATAGGGTTTCGTAGTCAACGTTTAAATATCAGGTTTTTCGGCGTTACAAAGTTAATTTTGTTGCTGGTTTGTTTACAGCTGTATGGTGACCAACCGCAAATTGAAAAACTTTAATATTTCCTTAGTCCTAAGTGGTACAGTATTCGTTATAGTTTTCATGGTAACTTCATATTAAGAACTATATTCCATATTATTTTCAAATTTTTAGCATGCATACTTTAGAAGCTACAGCTGGAACAAATTATGGCACAAAAACGCCCCTTTTAAAAGCAAATATCTCGAGACAGAAACATTTTAGAGACTTTGTTTCAAAGAAACCTTCCCTTAGTTTTAAAAGACCTATTCAACGATACCCCACTCAATATTACAGGAGAAAAATATTTTTTTGCCCCCCTTTCACATGTATGGGAAGGGGGTCCAAATACCAATCAAATTATTTTTTTCTCAACATGTCTAAGTTTGGGTCAACACGATCTATCTTCACACCAAATTTGATGTCGATAGCTCCAAAACTGACGAAGTTATGAGGGCGCGGCATACAGACAGACAGACAGACAGACTTACCGAAATGATAAGGGTTTCTAGTAGACTACGAAACCCTAAAAATGAGTGAATACTTAATGAGTAAGGGACAATGTAACGAAAACTTTGCAGGCATGCTCAGACCATGAAACTGAACAACTTTCCTCATGGAACATATTATTATGGTAGGTAAACAAAAAGAAATACTTTCCATACAATACAATGTCAGTCAGCTGATCGTGAATGTTGTATGGGAGGTCGGAAACTTTTTGTCGTTTACCAACATTGGCTCCGTAGTAAATATTGTTCAGTTACATGGTCTGATCATGAGTGCGAAGTTTTCGGTACACCGTCCCTTACACCGTGTAGATATAAGCAGATAAGTAACCAAAAATTAGGAACTTCTTTCTTTGTGCTTCCCCACGGCGTGCATCCTCGAAGAAGTGATGTATGTTTATCTGCCTAATAGCCCTCATCGCTGATAGGGCATTAATTGACGCAAAGTTGCAGAGCCTCGAACACCGTCGCAAAGTAGCTTGCTTGTCGGTATTCTACAGGATACACTTCGGGGAGTGTGCACAGTCTCTCCATGACCTGATACCTCCGTCACCATTCCATCTCCGGTGCACGAGACGCCGGTTGGGATTCCACCCTTATATCGTAGACATCCGGCAAATTCGCAAAAAGCGCTTCGCTTCTACATTTTTAATGCGAACTGCTAAGGAGTGGAACTCCCTGCCTGCGGATCTGTTTCCGGAACGTTATAACCTGGGCCTTTTCAAGGCAAGAGTGAATAGGCATTATCTGGGCGAGCATGTTCCATCATCGTCTGCATCGTTACTTAACATCAGGTGAGATTGCGGACAAATGCTTAGGTAGGGTAAAGGTGGGGCACTATGAAACAAAAAAGTTAAAATGCTTCGTATCTTATGAACCGTTAATTGTATCGAATCAAATTTGATACCAAAATAATCAGTATTTAACTGTCCTTATAAAAAAAATCGAAAACCCCATAAAACTTTCTGGAATGTAAATATAAATGACATTTTAGTGAGGTCGGGAACTCGTTTCACAGTGCCCCGTATCTGGGGTACTGTGAAACATACTATGGGGTACTATGAAACGGCACAATTTCTGTGTAGGAACCTTTGATCATTTATTTAATAAATTGAATTAACGTCGTAATAATCAACTTGTGCTACGTAAAAATAAATATGACGGCGCAGAATACTTTTGTTAATTTTTAATGTCCAAAATTAACGTAATCGAAAATAATCTAATTGTTATTTTAGTGTGCTTATAAATAGGCAGTTAATTTTATAAAAATAGCCTATCCTGTTTAAGTAGAAAGTCACTCAATTGATTGTGTAGTATTTCCGTGGTCGATTGTAGTTTTCTGTGAGAAAAGAGTGGGGCTCTGGTAGCCTCGAGTGGGGTTGTGGGCGGTGGCATAGTCTAATAAAACATGGTCTTTCCTTCCCAGAGAAACACAAGACAACGTCACTTAGTATTGCCACTTTATTTCAATAAAATACGTTATGGGGTAAATTCAATCTCAGAAAAGTGACCTAAAATATTTCTTAATAATTTTATAATTTAGATTTACGTGTGTATTAACTTGAACTTTACAACAACACTTCAATTGTATTTATTAGTTAACAGTATCATAAATGATTTACAAAAAACATCATAAGAGTGGGTAGTTCTGGTAACTCACAAGCATGATGACGTAGACTTGTGTTGGTCACGTGGTCCACGAGTCTCGGAACGGAATACCAGGCGGAGTATCTTATTATACCATGGGCGGTGGCAACGCTGCGCTCGGGCAGTCTTGTGATGTGGTTGAGATGGTGCGGACCTATGGTCGGTCCGGTTCTATGTTTGAAGTTAGGCGCGTAGCGTTGTGCACTCGCTCACAAATCCGCTAACTCTTTTCTATTTCTTTGGATTAAATTTATTTGGAAAGTGTAAAGAATAAATCGAAGAAGTGTATTTACGTGGTTTCTATTTGGATATGCATCTTCCTGTTACCCGTGGCAGCAAATGTCGCAACGGATTGCTCGGCGCACCGACATCAGAAGTGGCGAACCAAAATTCAGGTCAGAATAATCCAATTTTATTTTCTAATTATGTAAGGATTTCAATTCTTGTGAGATTGATGATGTAAATTGTTTTTAATATACTGAGAGGGCTTTAAAGTGTTAGATAACTACCAGTAGCGAAGGATCTTTGTTAAAATGGGACACCACTCCTACCTAATTGTATTCAACCTTTATGTAATTTTGATAGGCAAAAGTCGATAAATAGCGAGTTTTGATGTGTGTGTCCGCAACGTAACGTGAAATGAAGGCTGATAAACAAGCCGACAATACAGTTTTCATGCCTAAATCAGAGACATTACGCAGAATATAGGCGGTTGTACCTAAGTTGACACGAATTTTTGGTCTAGTGTCCGTTGAGTCACGCGAAATATAGAAGGCAATAACCCAACAAATCCGGAGTTGTATCACAAATTAGAGAATTTTGAACGATACGGATAGCCCAGTTTAAAATTTCTCGATTGTCACCTTATTACATAGCAAAGGTTGCTAAAGGAGAATGACCATTTCTGGTCCATGAAATTGTCTCGCATCAAAATGAAAATTAAAGCAATATGTAGTATCCGTAACTCTAATGTAGTATAGCTACGGCTATTGTTGTACAAAAACAGGAACTAACTTAATTTTTAAAGGTCATTCTACCGTTAGGTATTTTTACAAAAGATTTTACTGTGGTGCGAACTTTTTTTTTACATTGCTTAATTCGGTATAGTTTACAATAAAGAGTTTAAAACGAAAAACTTGAACTACAGCACTTTTGTTTCTTTCGATACCCAACTTTAATATTCAATAACTTCAGAACTCCTGTCATTATTGAATTATTTTCAGTTACAAGATGTTAAGCAATAATTAGACTTTAAAATTGTTTAACTTTGGCTTTGATGCGGGGCCTGCAAGCAGTGAGGCAAGCAAGGGACGGACGTCCATACTAGAATGGGCATAATCCTTTTCGTGCGACGCGCGGTTTAGGTTCAGTTCAGTTTTATAAACTTATTCAAATATCAAAAGTGCACAAAAAAAAATAGGTAGTACACTGTCAAAGTTGCATTATTCTGTCGTCAAAAGTAGCAAAATATGAAA